ACGTTTTCTGTTACTCTCTCGCACTGTGTTCCATAGTGGCCCCCCAAAATTTATACCTTTCCAGGAACCTCAGAATATGGCCTTGTTTGAAAATAAAGTCTTTGCAGAGGTAATTAGCTAAGTTACAATGAAGTCATTCTAGAATGGAATGGGCCCTAAATCCAATATGGCGGGTGTCATTGTAAGAAGAGGAAAGAGACGGACAGGAGATTGCCATGTGAAGACCCAGGCAGGGAAGAACACCACAAGACAGAGGCAGAGACTCGAGCGATGCATCTACAAAACAAGGAACGTTCAGGATTGATTGCCGGCAACCTCCCAAAGCTAGAAGAGGCAAGGACGAATGCTTCCCCAGAGCCTTCAGAGACAGTGTGGTCCTGCCAACACCTTGATTTCAGACTGCTAGCTTCCAGAACTGTGAGACAATAAATTCCTATTGTTCTAAGCCACCCAGTTCGTGGTACCTTATTATAGCAGTCCTAGCAAATTAATATACCTCCTTCCCATGGTACAGAAGGCAGGTGACGTATAGGCATAGATCCCAGGCGAGGTCCTGCCAAAATTTAGACTATCGGGACAAACTCAAGGCAGAGCAGGACAAAGGGAATGTGATGTTTGACATTTGCTCTTTGTAGGGCTTTGTGCTTGGCATCTCACATATGGGATCTTGATATAAGTACAGCCATTTCCATTTCACAGATGAGGAAACTGAGACTTAGAAAAGGGAAGTCATTTGCCCCTAAGCTCATTTTTTCCCTGCCCCTCAGTGCTATGCCAGGGCAAATCCAGACTCTAGTTTGAGTTCCAGGGAAGTAAGTTACTCACTTCCCTTCTCTCAGCCTCACTTTCCTCATCCAGAAAATGGGAATAATAGTATCTGCTTCTTAGGTGGTTATGAGAAGAAAGGAGCTCATTCCTTCATTTAATAAATATATAGAAGGTCTCCTCTGTGTCACCCTTGCTCTAGGCCCCAGAGACACAGCAGTGAACTGGATGGGCCCAGTTCTTGCTCCTAGGAGTCTTTTGGGTAATGCCTGTCAGGTGCTCAACAGGGGCCAGCACTTAGTAAGTGCTTAGGGAAACTTATGGGGTTAAGAATACAGGATTGAATGGGATGGGGTGCAGAATGGGCTTGGCCTGTAAGGGGAGCTCACTTTGGCATTAATTCTCTACCCTGCAGTGATGGTATAGCCCTCTGGAAAAGGAAGGTGCAAGGTCCTTGGGGCCAGGGCTCCATGTTCTTGGGCACCCAGCAGTTGCTGCTGTAAGCTGCCTGCCCAAAGCCAGCAGAACTCTCTGCCCAGGTCTGGCCTGTGGTCTGTGCAGGCCGAGGAGGGGCCTTGGGTCTTCTCATGGAGGCCTGCATTGCTGCACTGTCCCTTCAGCCTTGCCTCCTCAGCTCAGCCCCACCCACTCCCTGACACTGTCTCTGCAGGGGCCAGGCCTGAGCCTGTCCTGGAGGCACTCCCAGCTGTCCTGATATCCCCTCTGGCTTCTGTAGACACTCCCCCTCTTTGCCTCTGGAGGCTTCCTCTGGTCACCACCCCTCCAGAGGTGTCCCCAGACCTCACCCCTGTGCTATTCTTTTTTCCTGGCAACGGTGGCATTAAATGTCAACCAGGCTCTCTCAGTGCTGGCAGGGTGGGGGTTCTTGATAACCATGTGATTTGGGGGAGGGTCTTCTCAAGCCCCAGAGTGATGGGCTAGGAATGATTGGGTTGACTGCGGTCTGGCTGTGCTCCCAACTTACTGCACTTCCTTGAGCAAACCTCCTCCCCCGCAGACCTGGGTTTCTCTGAGAGGCAGCCCTCTCTGCTTTCTGCTGGGGTTATGAGGACCAGGGTCACAGGCGAAAACTGAGCAAGTGGCAACAGCCAGTCCCAGGAGGGCTGACTTCCTCCAGGTGGGCTCTGGAAGGGGCTGTTGGGGATGCAGGGCAGCTATGCCCATCAGGCCTCAGAGAAGCTCGTCCTCCTGTCCTCACTTGCCCTGAGTGAGCCGGGAGAGCTGGCATCGAGCACTGGGAAGCGGGCTCTGGCGGGCCCTGACGGCTCAGCAGTGGCAGCAGCAGTGGTGGCAGGGGCTATTCTGAGCACTGGGAGGGGCTGGGAGCTGGGACTGGAGGAGGGGAAGTGACAGGGAGGAGACAGTTTCTCGAGGGCCAGGGTAGTGCCACTATAGCCCCAGGTGGGGGGGTGTCTGCCCATGGCAGTGTGCATTGAGAGAATTGCATGGTGTGTACTCCCCGCTGGGAGTGGGTGAGCCAGCCGAGGTATTGAGGCATTCACTGGGATTGTTTGAGTGTATGTGTACAAGTTTTGTGATCTAAGCACCAGCTGAGTGGGTAACGTGAACATCCATCTCCCTGTGGGCAAGCGCATGCGTGTGCACTGGAATGCGAGCATGTTCCAGGGTCCAGGAAGGTGCGAGTGAAGAAAATGTGGCTGCGTGTGGAAAAAGGAAAAAGGAGGAATGAAAGGGGAAGCAAGTGGGGGCTTGTTTGTGATCAGGAATGAATGTGGGTGTGGAAGGGAGGGTGGATGGGAGCTTGAGAGCCAACCTGGGGGAGGAGGGAAGGGTGGGAACTGGTGGTCAAGGGAACTGTAGGTAGAAACCATAGGTCTGTGTAATTCGGACACACGTATGAGGCACGTGGTGAGAGTGCTTGTGAGTGAGCCCATGTGTGAGAGCAGCTGTGAGTGTGTGCATGGTAAGAGCAGGTGGGACGGCATGAGATGGGCAAAGTAGGAAGGGGAGATGCGTATACACAACAGTAGCAATAAAAACAGCTAGCATTTACTGCCTGCTTATTCTGAGCCTGGTGCTCACATTCATAAACGTATTTAACTTTTCAAATATCCTGCGAAGGTATTGCTAATATGATAGTCATTTGTAGAGTAGGAAAGAGTGGCTTTGAGCAGTTATGTAACTTGCCCATGCTCTTAATCACTATGTTATACTGCCTCATAATGAATGTGTGAGCAGGGGCCAAGTTGTGAGTGAAGAAGCATGTGAGAGTGCACTATTGGGTATGAGTTTGAATGTGTGTGTGTGTGTGTGTGTGTGTGTGTGTGTGTGTAGGGCTGAGTGTACCAGACATGGGCCTCAGAGGAGAGTCCAGGTAGCAGCTGTGGACACTGGGCAGGGCAGGGGCCTGAGCAGAGCCCGAGTCAGCCTCTAGTGCATCCCTGCCAGCCTGGCTTCCCAGACCCATGGTGGCAGCCTGTGCCAGGGCCCCCAGCTAAAGATCCTCCCAACACTGGTCTGGCTTTCAGCAGGCCTCTGTCTCACAGCTCAGAGCTGGGTCGGGGCTGGAGACTGTGAAGAGGCTTGCTCAATCTCCAGGGTCCCTTAGGGGGCAGCCCCCAGTGTGGACTCCCCAGGCATGGAGGGCATCTGAGAGATGTGGTGGTGGAGGGGGATTCAGCAATGATTTCAGGCTCCTTGTGACTCTAAACAGAACCACCTGCAGGGTGTGTGTATGTATGGGGCGGGGGGGTTGTCAGCCAGCACTTCCCATGCCTACCCTTGCTTTGGGATGTGACTCAAGCAGATGTCACACCAGGCATCTGCAAGCAAGGCCTGCTCCCACCCTGGGGGATGAGGAGGGGGTCCTCCAGCCCCACTCCCACCCTCACCCTTGGCCCTGCTCCTCAGGTCCTAAACTGGAAGAAAGAAATTTTTGAGAAAGGAGGCCATCTCCCATGGCCTGGGCTCAGCCCTCCCACTGCCCAGAGATCTTTGCATCTCCAGGCTCCTCAGGAGCAAGGTACTGGCTGGTGAAGAAGTCAGGATCTGGAGATTCCAGTCCTGGCCATGCCACCTGGGCAAGTCACCTGCCCATTCTAGGGCTCAGTTTCTTGACTGGCAAAATAGGAATATTGTGCTAAAGGGGGACGAGGTGTTGCTGGCAGCTCAACAAGCGGTCTGGGCAAGCAGAGAACAGAGACAAGTGTTGGGAGTTGGGGGCTAGAGAAGGTGTCAGGGATAAGTTGACATTTGCACTGAGCTTTTAATAGTGGGAGAATCTCTGATGAGGGCCTTGCGGAGGGAAAATGGTGTCCTAGGCAGAGGGCATAAATACCCTGAGCAAAGGCCAGCAGGTGCAGTGGTGACTGGAAACCTAGCTCAGCAGCCTGTAGGATGAAGCCATGGACTGCCCAATCTCTCAGCTAGCCTCGCCCTTCTGAGCTCATGTGATGATCTGATTAGCATCTGACTCCTGACGAGTCTATGCAGTAGGGGACCTCATTTGTTTCAGTTGCTGCTCTCATTGTAGAGCCCTGGACAGTGCCTGGTGTGCCAAAGGAGGTCAATAAATATCCAGGAACTGAATGAGAAGGTTCCCTCCAAACACTATGAACTTCAGACAAGTGCTTGTTCCAACAACCGCGGTGAGGACCTCCCACAGACTCTACAACAGTGGTTTGCAAGTGCAGTCCCTCATGCATCACCCGGGAGCTGGTTAGAAATGCAAAGTCTGGGGCCCCAACACAGACCCGCCGAATCGGAAACTCTGGAGCTGGAGTCCAGTAATGTTAACAAGCTCTAGGGGATGATTCTGCTCCGCGTTAAACTTTGAGAACTGGAGCTCTCAAACTATGCCCACAGGCACCATGAAGAACACGTTTGCTGATGGAGGAGCGAGAGTTGTGGCAAAGCCTGGCCTAGGAACGCAGGTATTCTTGACCCATTCTTTTTCCCCAGCCCAGTCCAGGGCACAAAGAAGAGTAGAGAGTTCGATCATTCTCCCTCTCAGGTTCCTGGAACGGAGACTTGGGAACGTCAGGGGGTCTAGAAACAGAGGGCGGGCATTCCTCTCTGGAGTAGAAGGCGGGGCCAGTGCTCTGAGCCCCGCCCATCCCGTTGCCCCGGGAAACCCCAGGTTGTAACAATAACCGGTGACGCGCTTCTGGGAGGGAGCTTGTCGAGCCCATGGGCGGGACAGTCCAGCAACGGACCAATCGGAACGCTGATGCCCCGCCCCCTAGACCCCCCCCTCCGCGCCGAGCAGGGGGCGGGGTCGCGCCCGCCGCTCCGCCCCTGCTCCGTAGGCGGCGCTATTGCTTGCAGGGGCTGCGGCGGGGTCGCCCCGAGCTGGGAGCTCCGCGTCCGGTCTCCCAGCTCGAGGGCGGGGCACCTGGGCCTGTCGAGGGTTCCGCGGCAGCAAGCGGAAAGCCCCGCCCCCTCCCTCGCCGGGCCCGCCCCCTCCCCGTCCCCCGCCCATCCCGAGGCGCAGCCGGCGCTGAGCGCGGCGGGCGCGGGAGCTGGCGCTGGAGCCGGAGCGGCGGCGGCGGCAGCGGCATTCACGGGGCGGCGGCGCGGGCTCCGGCACCGGCTCGGGCTCCGGCATGGTGCAGTACGGCCTCGTCCCGGGAGAGCGGGGCCCGTGCGCAGGGCCGGCGCCTGGGGAGCGGCGGCAGCGGCGGTGGCTGTGGTGGCTGCAGGCGCAGGCAGGCAGCAGGTGCTAGAAGCCGGGCTGGGCGAGGTGTGTGTCCGCTGGGCTCCCGGGCCGCCGCCCCCTCACTGCCCGGGTCTTTCCCTCCCTTCGTGTTCCCCAGCGCGTCCAGCCCCCTACCTCCGCGCCTCGGCCCATGGCGCCCCGCGGCTGAGACAGCGCCGCCAGAGACCCCTCCCGCGGGCCTCCCCGGGGCGTGCAGATCCCGGAGCCGCCCTCCCACCCTCTGCAGAGCCTCCCTCCCCTCCTCGCCCGAGCCGGGCGGGACCATGGCTGCGAAGCTGCGAGCGCATCAGGTGGACGTGGACCCGGACTTCGCGCCGCAGAGCCGGCCGCGCTCGTGTACCTGGCCCCTGCCGCAGCCCGACTTGGCTGGCGACGAGGACGGAGCGCTGGGCGCAGGGGTGGCCGAGGGCGCGGAGGACTGCGGGCCGGAGCGCCGGGCGACTGCCCCGGCGATGGCCCCAGCGCCGCCACTGGGCGCGGAGGTCGGACCGCTGCGCAAAGCGAAGAGCTCCAGGCGGAACGCGTGGGGGAACCTGTCCTACGCCGACCTCATCACCAAAGCCATCGAGAGTGCCCCGGACAAGCGGCTCACGCTCTCGCAGATCTACGACTGGATGGTCCGTTACGTGCCCTACTTCAAGGATAAAGGCGACAGCAACAGCTCGGCCGGCTGGAAGGTGGGGGCGTCCGGCTGGGGAGGGGGCTGGGGACGCCGACTGGGGCTTCCAGGGGCTGCTAGGTGCGCTGGGCTCCAGGCGGGCTGTCAGGAGGAGGGCTCTTTGGCACCCCCAGGGGTCACAGAGTGTGCGCCCAGGGCGTGGGGCCGGCCAGCGGACAGGCGGGGGCGTACTGGGAGCAGCTGTGTGCGTGATCTCTTGCAGGGTGGGATGCCGGGTGGGAGGTCTGGTGGGGTGACAAGGGACTGTCGCTTTGAGGCGTCCCCAAGGAACGTCCCCACCCTGTCCTTGGGGGCATAGCAGAGAAACCCATTCCCAGGCCGTGGACATTGGGGAACTTCCCCCTCCTCCCCCTAGTCTGCTTTGTGTGACTCTTGTTTTACCCTTTCCTCCGTGGCACCCTTCTTAGAGCGCTGGAATAATGACTTGGAGCCAATGTCGGCTTTCCCTCCCAAATCTCTATCATTGCCCTTCCTGGAGCTGTCCCCAGGGTGAGGAGTGTGACCATGGGCCCATAGTTCTTCTCGTGGTGCCAGAGTTCACCCTAGAGCACTAACCAGCCTGGGGTGAGGAACTCGGCAGGTGACCTGAGATCTGAGTTCTCCATGGGGTGGCTGCTGCCCCCCCTTACCTAGATCAGGATGAGGGTGACTGGTGATGACCCCTGCTGGTGTGAGGACAGGGTATTGAGAGCTGGAGATTTGTCTGTGCCCACCCAGGTTGCTTTTTTCCACTTCCCTGACTGTCTCAGCCCAGATGCATTTAGGGCCTGGGGGAGGGGCAGGGGTACCCCAGGGAGGCCTCAGTGCCAGCCAGTGAAAGGGGGGAGCCATCTTAGGAGGGGACAGGGGCTTGCTTGTATTGTGGCCTCTGGACCCAGCTACTCCCCTGGCCATCTTGTTGGAGAGTGGTGATAGTCTATGCCTTTGGGGGAGAGGAGGCTGGAGGGGTGCCTGTGCCTAGGAGGTGAGCTGTCAGCCTCCCTGTGGGAGGGGTGGCCTCTTGTGAGGGATATAAAGGGAGGGGGCTGTGCCCTGTGGTGCCTCCATGCTGGGTCAGAGGAAGGAGGTGTGCCAGTGGAGGAGGGGAGACTTGTGGGCCTGAACAGCTCTAGATGCCCAGGGGCAGCATTGTAGAGCCAGGGTGTCCTGCTCTGCGAGCCCATAGCTCTCAGGGTTAGTGCTGGCAGCTTCTGTCCCTCACCAGCCATGATGGGGCAGAAACACAGATGGGAGGAGCAGTCCAGGGTCTTTTTCCACGTCCCCCCCCCATCCGCTTGGGCTAAACCCCCATCAGAACACATTTCTCCCAAGTGTGTCCTGTGCTTGGGAATCACTCCCACCTCCTTGCTCCCCATGTCCTGACCTACTCCTCCCTGTAGATATGTTCACTGTCCTTAAGAGTAGAGAGTTCAGATGCCTCTTCCAGGAAGACTTCCCTAACCCTTTTTAGCTAGCTTAGGACTCCCCCTTCTCTGGCCCTCTCCCTGCTGGTAGCGAGTTTTAGTCATTTGTGTTCTGTCTCATTTCCCCTCTCCACCCTGTTTTTGGAAGACAGTGGCAGTGTCAGAGCTATGCTGTGCTCACAGCACCCAGCATACAGTCTTGACACCAAGAAGCCACCTGTGTGTGTCTAGTGGGAAACTGAGTGCAGGATGCTGAGGCAGAGAGGGCTGGGAGGGCTTCTTGCAGGAGGTGTAGCTCCATCTGGGCTTGCTGAATCAGGCAGGATGGGGAAAGATGGGGAGAGGGGACGTGACACTGGAAGTCAGGGGAGAAATATAGTTCATCGAAGGTCTTGGGGCCAAGCTCTGAGAGAGGCACCTTCACACATCTTCCTTTAGTGCTCTCAGCAGTACCTGAGGTGATTTTACTGTGATCATTTACAAGGAAGGCACTGAGGTCTGTATTTAGGCATGAACTGGTCGCACAGTTAGTAGATGGGAAAGCTGGAATCCAACCTATGTGTGTCTACCTCCAGGGTCCCCAAGCACCTCTGGAACAGTGTCCTGCTGGCAGCTGGGGGTGGGAGGGGCACATGGAAGGCTTTTGAATATGGGCAAGTATAAATCCTAAACCGTGACTGAGAATGTGCTTGGAGATAGTTTAGTCCCATGAGTTCATTTCTCAGACGGTGAGACTGAGGGGATAGGAGTCTTGCCAGGGCATCAACTGGCAGCAGGCCCTGGATGAGGGCCCAGGCCGCCCGCCTGCCCATTGGATGCAGTTTCCACTGCACCACACCGCTAGGGACACGCCGATTCTCCCTGCGCCTGGGCTCCCAGTCACAGGCTGGGCATTGGAGAGGGAGCCTCAGGCTTGGGCTCCTTACCTAGGTTTTGGCAGAGACCACTCAGGCACTGGAAAGGGACCTGCCCCATGCTGTCCCCTTCCACCTCACCCTCTACCCTGCTCCCCAGGGAGCCAGCCTCCTTCCCTGATTATTCCTGGAGCTTCCTGCACTGTACCCCTTCCCCATTCTCAGTCATTTCCTCCAGGGGCCTGGTAAAAGAGCTATCCCAACTCCCATTCAGGCACAGGTTGACACACAGAACACATCAGGTGTCAGGTCTGGGGTACCAGACCTCTCCTCATTCTCCTGCCCTACAAACATATTGCACTTGGATCCCTGGGGTGTACCAACCCTGTGTTAGATGGGGTGGGGGACTAAAGGAGAAGGCATTGATTGGATCTACTTCAGAATGATCAGGATTCAGCCAGTTCCACACACAGGCCTTGTGTTTTGTAGATAGGAAAGGTTGGGGGTGGGGGCAGGGCTGCGGTAAAGGGGAGTTAGATACCCTGGGGGAGCCAGGGAGGTCCTCACAGAGGAGGTGGCACTTGGTCTGCGCTGCCTTCATTGGGGAGGGGAGAATTTAGGAGATACAGTCTTCCAGGAAGTATTGACTGCATTCCCAAAGGCAGGGAGGTGAAATTGTGCATGTGTGATTTGGGGGAAAATCTGGGTGTGCCAGGCTCGAACCGAGGGTGTCCAAGCATGGCAGGGAGGTGGCACGGCAAGGGTAAAATGGGCCAGATCAGGAAGGGCTGACATGCGTGGCCTTATCCCTGTGTTCACATCTGTGATGCAGGGAGGTAGCTAAGTGGTGCAGGACTGGTACTGGAGAAGACAAGACCAGCAGCAGGCGTGGGACACCCAGATTAGGCTGAGGCCTGGAAAGCCTGGGCTCATTACTGGGAACCCAACCAAAGGGCCTGGTTGTCTTCCCCTCCAGGCTTAGGATGGGGGCTTGGATAGGTGGTCCGTCTCTGTCTGCAGTGTCCCAAGACTGTGAATATCCAGGTAGAGCCACCTACTTTCTCTCAGATGCTCCAGTCTCACTTTCCTTTGGCCCTGTACTCCTCCGGGAAGCCTTCCAGGCTGCTCTGAGTTCTGGCGCTCCTTCCACTTAGCGCCCCTGGAGTTGTTCTGCCTGCTTTTGTGTTTCCTGGCTGCCAGCTCCATTGGGAGCTCCCAGGCCAGGCATGGGCGCCTCCCATTTCTGTCCCCAGAAGAAGCACAGTGGATGGGGACTTCCCTTCTCTCCCAGGGGCTGGAGCAGCCTGGCTGATGAGAGGTGGGATCAGGAGGGGTGGCGCCACCCCCATCTGGCCCAGTAAGTTCCAGGTGGGGTGAGACTGGAAGGGAGGGACTGATCCGAGAGGCCAGGGCAGGGTCCTGCTACAGCCCTGAGCAGCTCTGTCAGCTGAAGCCACCCCCTTCCTCTTCCACCAGCCTGCTCCAGCAGGGCTCCCTCCTCCTCCTTTGTCCTCCGGGGATCCCCAGCCCCAAGGGCTGATGAGGGTGCAGGAGGAGGCGGTGTGAGCCCCGGTTGGGGGGTGTCCTCACCCCCCTCACTGCAAAGGCGGGGGGCTGGCAGCTGCCCGCCTCCTGGGCACAAGCCCGTGCCAGCCGCTCCTGGCACAGTTGCTGGCACGCCCGGCAGACTCCCACGGCCACCTGCTCACACCCACCCACGAGCGCTGGCGCGCTGCGGGCCCTTCCGGCTTCCCGGGCCTCCCGGCACCCCTCCCCCGCCGCCGTGCTGGTGGAGGGGGGCCCACCCCACTCGGCTCCCCGAGGAACCCCTCACTCCCTGCCGGCCCATGGCAGCCGCCCCCGCCATATTCCGGGCAACTTGGGGATCTGAGGAGGCGGGGCTCAGGGAGGCCCCTGGGGCCACGCGCGGGAGAGGAGGGGGCCAGGAGGCAGACAGACCGACAGACAGGGTGAGGGCCCCGCCTGCCACCTGGCGCCGTTCCAGCGGGACGATGGCGGGCAGCGCCGTGCCAGGCGGTAATTGCAGACAGACTAATTTAAAGAGATGAGACGGTTATTTTTAACTCGCGTTAAGGTAATGAACGGCGCGGGGGGTTTGTGGGTTCAAAAGTTCAGTGCCCCCACCCCCCCCACCCTCACTTTCTGCAGGTCTGTGGGGGCCTCTCTTTGCAGCCCTGAGGGCTCAGGCCAAGGGGCTGACTCTAGGGAGCAGGGAGGTTGAGGAACTGGAGAGGCCCTGCCAGAGGGGTGGGAGGGCTGAGGGGGCCGAGACAGAGGCACCTGGTGGGGGGGGCCCAGAGCACTCCATCAGACCCTCACCACCACCAAGGCGGGCTGGCACTCCTGTGTTTCAGGTGAGGAAGTGACTAGCCTTGAGGTCGCTACCTCTGAAGTGGTGGACCTGGGAACTGGACCCCAAACTGAAGCTTTTGAGCTATTGGGTAGGATTGAGGTGGGGCAGGGGCTAGAGGGAAGGGCTTGTTTTGGACTCTTAAAGGGTTCAGGGCTTCTTCCCTACAGCCTGCCTTCCCGGTCTTTGAGTAGCAGCTAGTGGTAACCACCACATGGGGTCCTGTCTGTGACTTGTGAGGGTTGAGAGATAGTCAAGTACTGGGATGTGGGTACATCAGCTACAGCAGGGGGAGCCCCTTCCTCACCTGTTTCCCTTACCTCCCAGGGACTCACTAGATCTATTTCCCAACTGCAGCTTACCCAGCGTG